TCACAACACCTGAACCGCCGCCGACTCCCGATCCGGGAGAGTTAATTACAAATCATTGATTAGTATTTGTGTTACAAAAAAGCAAAACCGAAAGCACTAATTAATTAAACGACTGGAAAATTAGCTTAACATTGGATTTACAACCTTAACATTGAGGGGTAAATAAAATATTTCACTTTTTATTTTTGCAATATTTGTGAATATATTTTCTAATTAAATCCTATACATTAATATATAATTTTTTTGGGTGCAAAAACAGGTCAAAGCAACAAAATATATTATAGATTTATTAAAAAATACATTTTAATGTTAGGTTTAGGCGGAGAATGGGCTCAAAGGCTTTATTGTTAACAAGAATATGAATTCATTTGTGCCGTATTTAGCATTAGTTTAAGAGTAAACCTATTATCAGATTTTTGGCTTAAAAATAAGGTTTGATTTTAAATTCTAATGACATGTCCACCAAAACCCTTAAAGTTTTGTTAAATAACTACAATAAAAATATTCAAGAATTGCTTATTAACTGTGAAAACTAATTGAGGGTTTGCTTTAGGGCAACCACAATATGAGTCATTTAATATGCAGACTAAATAAAAGCCACGAATTAGTAAAAAAAAATCATAACATTTAGTATTTAACTCATGCTTTAAAATGAACAAATAGTTGCAATAGTCATTATTGTGTTCAAAACTATGAAAAAAGCATCCAAAAAGCATCCCCGCGGTTGCTTTAGTTTGCTTACTCTGATAAAAGTGGCATAATTTTGTTTGTCATCCGAAGAGCTGCCATCTCTGAAACCGGGATATTCCTGATATATAATGACAATTAAAAATCAATGAGTTAACTAATTAGGCATAAATGACACAATCATTCATAAGAATTATCATCAAATGGTTACCCAATCCAAGTCGAGGCCATCGAAGTTGTGTTCTCTCAAGAATTTAAGGGCACTATTGATAAAAGTCTGTCGGAGTTCAGGAGAAGCGACTAGTTTTGAGAACCTATTAAATAAATTGCAAATAATAATCCGATTTAGAGAAATGTATATTTGGACTAAAAATAAAAGTTTATTTTATTTTGAAATATAAATAATATATTGAAATAAACAATAAAATTGACACCTTTTGGAGCCTTCATTCCAACCGCCGATTGCTATTAATGTCTTCAGATTCTTGTTATAGGTCTTGAGTCCAACAAATTTCTTATAATTGCCTTTTCATTAATTGGAGACACAAAAAAATTATTAACAAAATAAATAATAATTACTTAATTTGAATAAAAGTAAAAATAAAATTTAAGGCCAATTAAAAATAACTGGGTATTAATAATTAATGATTATGCCTGTAGAATAATTTCTTATATATTTCTTGTAATATTAATAATTAAATAGTTTTTGATATTAATTTTTAAATGAACGTTGAATCAATTAGCGGTTAATACCTTGATTTAAGTCATTGTAGGGATCAAATGCCTTTAATTCATATTTACTCGATAGGCCTCCAAATGCATAAATTAGATGAGACTATAATCGCATGTGTTATGCATAGGAAACAAGAAAAGTAAATTAATTAACATTAATTATAAATTATTTTCACGACTTAAATGTATTGAAAATATCATGTTTTTCAAAAACACAATAATTATTGTACATTTGGTTTTAAACAAAAATAATTAAAAATCTAAACGTACGCAAAGATATGGATTAATGTTTTGTGGCGTAAACTTGGCTAATCCAGGTCTATATACCGCCCAATTTGAATAATAACAAACTATTTTCAGGTCATCGGCGGCTCTCTTATTGATTTGAATGTCTTGTGAAATAAAATATGTAAAAAAATGGGAATTAATTTCGCAAAAATTTCATTAAAATTTTGTATATAATTTGTGTATCATTTGTGTGGCAATACTTACGGTCGGCGAGTGATGAGCCAAAGAGGTTCACTATTACTGCCAGAATTGCCTTTGAAATAAAAAACATAATAAATTTTTACTTAATTGAATGATTTTTGGTTTTCCAGTTATTTATCAATAATTTAATCTCGTTTTTCATTTAATTTTAAACATCAAAAATACATAATTTTACGATTAAATGCAATGCGAACCGAAAGCCGAGAGACAGAAAAAACTGCTTCGTTTGTCAGTCAGTGAGTCGTGTCTACGAGAAAACACACACTGTTTTGAACGTTACAATTATCTCATAGAGTATATCGTATACACGGAGACAGTGTTTTTGTTGAGAGCGAGAGAATAAATACCTAGCGTTTTATTTATTGACTCCCGAATTAAATAGCCCTCAACTTTCGGTTAATGGAAATTTATTTATCACACAGTTTTGCTCCTGTCTTCATGTGAATTACCATTTGATCCCAACATTCACTTCGAAATCATGTTTTATTTTCACCAACTCTTGCCGGTAAGCGAAGCTCTTGTATATCTCTTATAATTTTTATTATATAATATACCGTATAATACCTGTTAATAATCCACTGTTTGCTTAGCCATAAAAATTGTTTACTCGCTGTGACTGTCATAATAAATATTTGTTATGATTATTATGTGCGATATTTGTGCACAATTTCACGCCAAATGATACAAAACACTACATGTGATTAAAAACCATTTTATGAAAATCTAACTAGTGTTTAAGAATATAAGAGTTAAGGGTTTAAGCCTATTATAATAAACATGTAATGAATAATGTTTTCTTAACGCCGATAATTAGATTTAAATATTATGTGAATTACATATTCGTCTTTCTCTCTCCTCTTATAGAAATTTACAGCAAAAATATATAAAATTTTAATTTCAAACTATAAAAAGTCTTCACTGAATACGAAATGAGCATTTATTGCTAAATACATATACCGTTTAAGTGTATGCCTAAAGTGTTTGCCTGAAAATAGATTAATGGTATAACTGTTTTTTAAAATACTAGTGTTTTTACCATCGATGCATTAGTTTTGTCCCACTTTTTTGTAATACATTATTATATTATTATTATTATGATTACCCAAAGAAGTACGAGTTAAATATTGTTAAACGCAAAGAAAAAAGTAAAATTAAATAATATTATTATATATTATATATGAGTGGATGTCATGCCATTTCCTGTACACACCAAACACCGTATTTCTCTCAACACTTTCTTTGTTTAAACAAATTTTATATTAAAATTGTTTAATAATTTTAAATCAAATTATTTCTGTAAGAAAAACAAGTTTTTAAAATATATTTTTTGTTGATTTTATGTGAAAATTATTGACTAATAATTTGAAATGTGTTGATAATATATACCGGATTGGCACCGGCACTATATCGCAGTCCTATTTTAATTATTGGTCAATATTTTGACAAATTTAACACATATTTATCAGTAAAATACTGTTTTGACAGTTAAATGATAAGTTAATCTATGCTAACATTATTTATTATTCAAATATTGTTATTAAGTTATTTTTTTGAATTCAAATTTATTGCAAATTCTTGTTATTTAAATATATGTCTCGCAATCATTAATTGTATTAAATAAAGACTGAAATAAATAATTAGCTTTAATTAAATTAATTCTACGAAACAAAACAAAACAAATGCCAAACAAAAGCATTTTGTAAAAGTTATAATTTAAAAAGCATTTGCCGTAGAAATTGAATGCCAATTATAATTCTTGTGTTTAATTATCACAAATCTTGCAAAGTATGTGAATATGTTTTGTTATGCAATAAAAGCCATACAAATTCAAAGTATAATATGTAAAACAGTTTTACATTTGCAAAACAAAACATAGTTATGAATATCTAATCGTTTGCATAATTATTATAATAATGGTTTCGTTGAATTCATTGCCAAAAACACATTATTACAAATCTTTTCTTCTTTTATGGATTTAATCAAAAGTTTTTATTATTAAACTATTTTTGAAAATTTATTAATATTTATGAATTGGTTTCTCATATTCTTGTTTTTGATCAAACAATTATTATTAGATATTTATAGATATAATACATACAGAAACCCAACCCATAAATAAATATGTTGCCAACAAAATAGTAATCTTATTTAGTTTTCAATTGAAATTTTAACATTAATAAAAGTTGTTATACTAAATGTATTTTTATTTGACGTTCAAATATATTTTTTAAAACTTATTTTTAGTTAAATAATTTTTACATATATTTTAATTAATTTCATTTTAATGTTTTTATTCATATGTTAGTTAATTATTATTGAAATATTATGTAAACCAATAAATTATTTTTGGGAGAAATACAATTATATATTTTAATATACAATCAAAAATTATTAGTAAATTGTATTTATAATTTATTTTTGTGTTTTTGTTATTATTGATTATTGTCTTTAGTATTATGTGTATTATATTTAGATATAAACTTCAAATACGATTCTCTGAACTAAATATCAATACAAGAGCCAAAACTTTGAAGGAAAAACTTTTTAATAAGTATTTTTTGCTTTTTTAGTTCAGCAAACCTTAGATAACAAAACATAACAAAAGTATTTCATTGTTTTTCATGCGTTTATTATTTAATTCACAAATATTTTTCTTTAAAACCAAATTTAAGCAAACATTTACACATTTATCATTCAAGTTATGGTGTGTTTCATGAAAAAAATCCTTTTATATTTTTTGTGTTGGATTTGAAAGTCCTTTTTCGCCATTTATTATGTTTTGCAAACTTTGTTTCATTTGTTATAAATTTGAATATTTGCACAATTTTTTATAATTATATAAATTACAAAAATTAATTTTTTGATCATTTCTTCATTTTATTCAAATGATGAATGCGTTTAAAAATTGTTGTTTTGTTTTGTAATTTATTTTATGCTATAAATCATAAAAAGAGAAATTAAGTTAATTGTAAAATTTTAAAGACATGTCACAAATAATCAACAATTATATAAGAAATTGTTTTTAATTTTTATAACTACTCTTTGGATGTAATTAAAATCATGATAAATATTTGCAATAATATAACATTTCATTGCATTTTTAATCAATATAATTGTTATTTAAAATAATTTATTTTCTATCATTTTCACACGAATTTGACGCCAATTATTAATACTGACGTAAAGTCTGCTAAAATATTTAAAAGTTATTTTACTTAATCCCATAAAATATTTTTGAAACACATATACAGTTCAGTGTAACTTATAATAAGGTTATAATTTAATTGCTTATAAATCAATAGTCTTACGGGAAATACAAGCGCACAGCGAGTCGTCAATACAATAATCAAACAAAGTTTCAAATAAGGATTTTAAATCTGATTTAATTTAAATGGCATTTTGAATAACTGGCCATTTATTACAGGCGTCTTTCCTAACGGGGATATAAGGGCTGAGAAATGAATGAAAATTTTAATGAATTTATTTTCGTTGAATATTTTCTTTACAATTTTAATGGTATTTTTAAATGCATTTTTAGGGACCAAAAGACCTACGCTTTGCGCTGTAAAGCCGGGCGTCTTCTCAATCACTGGCGTATAATACTGTCTATACATTTGTGTCACTAATTATAATGAATATAATTTACATTTTATGATTAATTAGATTTTCAAATGCTTTTATTGTATGAATCAAATGTGTGTTTACTTTAAAAGGAAATAAACAAATTGTTTCTTATATATAAAACTTTGAGCACAAAAGCAACAAAAATCAGTCGTCGCTTGAGTTTTAATAAAAATATAATAATTTATAATATATTATGTGATGTCTTATCGCTATTTGAATTCACTTTTTTGTTTTGTTTTGTTGTCTTCGGAATTAATTTAATAGTATAGAAAATTGTGACCCATTTTTGACATTTTCTCACACATATAAAGACTTCTTTGCCATTATCTCTATCACCAGAAGAATTGAAATTATAGTACAGATTAGTTGACAATTTACTCAGAAATTAAGATATATTTCTTAGAGTGTTTTTATTTCACTTTACGATTACGTGTTTTTCACATCAAATTCAATACATATACAGTATTTGTGATAAATAATAAATTTAAATTCTTATACTCTTATCGTCCATATCCTGTAATACATTAAAAAGTAATACATTATATGATTTAGTTTTTAAATATTTGACACTTTTCAAAGTTATTAATTATCGGTATTTGAAACATGTTTTGATTGACTGAACAAAGCGTGTATTAAATAAATATTTCTGTTAATAACATCCCAAATAAAATTAACATCCATTTGCTATTAATCTATTAATAAATTTTAAAACTATTAAATAATATTTGTTAGTTTCATACGTTTGCATAACACAGTCATTATAGCAAAAATATAGATAATTTTATTTTTAATTTTAGTATAACTCGTGATACTTATTTAGTTAAATATTTATTTAAACATAATTAAGAAAATTATAATAATTATAAATATATAAATATTTATAAAAGACAAATGGGTTTTATTTTGGCGATTATTAAACCTATTTTGATTGTAATCAAAATATTGAACCAATCATTATCTCAATACATATCTCTCTATTAATAAATGGATTTCAAATTCAAAATTCAATACAACTTTACATATAAATGGTCTGATTTTTTACATTTATTACTATAAATTATAACACTGTATAAACTGTGAACAAAATACACAGTTTGATATCAATCAGACATTACCATTAATATAATGATAATCAGATTATTATTTTTATATCCAATGAGTCGTCCGTTTTGTGTCTTATCTGAACCCAAATTAATGTTTAAAATAGAAATTTGGCGAAAGTTTTTGTGACACGACTTATAAATTGAATGATAAACATATTTGAGTCCAGGTTTTAAATAACACTTTACAAATTGCATTTTCAGTTTCCATTTACAAGTGTTTTAAATAATAATTTTAAAATAATTACTTATTTAATTGCATAATTAACGACCAAAAGATCATAACAAAGATATCCAACAATATTATCGATTGGCATAATTCATCCACTGATTCATTTTATATAACACAGTAATAGCAGTCAATTATAACCATTATTTTCCAATAATTTAATCTCGTTTTTCATTTAATTTTAAACATCAAAAATACATAATTTTACGATTAAGTGCAATCAATATTATACTAAATTGTATTTCTTTTCTTTTTATTTGAAAATCAGTATAAATTATAATAATTGAATCCAATATATATTAAATTATTTATTTTTGGGTTTGTTTGGCGTTTCTCTCATTCAACAGATTATATTTTTTTCTAAAATATTTTATGCTTTCTCTAAACTAAATCATCGAAAATGATAACAAAATCAGTTTTTCAGACATATTTATAACGATGAACTTGTTTTGACCCAAATATAGACACGATTTCACGATAAACACGTGAAGAACATCTCACAGAATATTCAC